TCATCGTCCCATGCTCTAGTAGGACATAGATGGGTAGATACAGGTACAACCCAAAGCCCTAGAATGTGGACCTGGGTGGTAGCTGAGATGATCTGTCTGGGCCTCTGGGGCTGAGCCCCTCAGCTCTTCTCCCAACCAATCAGGGCCAGTGGGAGGGACAGTGTCATCTTTCTGGATGGCTTGGTTCATTTGTTTCATCTCCCTGAGCCCAGGGGACACAGGCAGCTACAGGCTGCGGTGACTTTTTCCTCACCTCTCTCATCCATGGGTGTGGGAGCCTGTTCTCGGGTTCCTGGTGACTTTACCCAGCAGGTCCACATAGAGGATGATCAGGACCACAGGCCTGAGTGAAGGTGTCTGAGATGGTCTGCACTTGGCTGTGCTGGGGGGGTCTTTTGGGGGGGGTCTTTTGCTCCACCCCTTGGCGTCTCTATAAAAACCTTGGGGCAAAGGCAGTCGGGGCCCATTGGAAAAGGTTCCAGGCCCTCTCGAGGCTATTCTTTATTTTCTATCTGTTTATCTTCACAAGATTCTCCACAATAAATCCTTCTACCTAATATTTCCTGCTGCTCACACTCAAGAAAACTCTGGGGAGCTGTGGGGTTGGTGGGTAAACGCCCCACAGAATGGCACCATGAACAGAGAGTAAAGAAAAAAGAAAAAAAGGGACTAAAGAAAAAAAGGGGGGACTAAAAAAGGGGGGACTAAGACAAATGAACAGGGTGCAGGACCCAGGGAAAGATTGCTAATTAACAAACAAAGCTAAAGCTGGTGAGAACAGCACAGTTGTCTGCTTTCCTACAAGTCCCGGGTTGATAGGTCCACAACTGCAAAAAGAAATCTGAGAAAAGCTTTCCTATCAGTAAGGACCTTTCTGGGAAAACAGTAAAGCTGAACTGAGTCTGAAGCAGTTGTGCTGCTGAGTCAGAATGCTGTCTGGGGAAAGAGCCCAGCCAGGGCAGAACAGAACTATCCAGGAATAAAGCTTTCTTTTCTGTCAGAGAAAGCACCTCTTTGTAAAAAGCTTTGTTTCAACTGACTCCCTGAGATGAGGGAGTGTAGCCCTGAGGGGTGATTGCCTCTGGCATAAGCTCTGTCCTTGAGCACCCAGACAAGCAAACCCAACCCACTGGGGGACTGGGCCAGGTGAAGGCCTGATGAGGCAAAACACCTGTCCTAATGGGAGTTTAGCGATGGCAAAAACCTCCCTTGTTAGATTTTCAGTCAGTACGCAAACCACACAGACCCTGAAAACAGAAACGGACTAAAGCCTTTACCTTGAGGAGCAGGGAAAGCCGCCACTGTAGTGTCAGAAACTGTTTCTGGGGTAGGGGGATAAATTGAGACCAAACTGGGAACTGTCAGGGAGAAAGACTCTGAAGAAACAGA